GTCGATAGCCCCTTTACATTCCAATGCAACACTGATGCCAATCCTGCACCAATAAGATACTCCTGGTACCGATACAAGAAGAATAAACAGATGAACTCCTCACAGTGGACGTCCAACACAACTGTTAAAAACACACTGTTTTTGAACAAAGTGCAAAGATCAGATGAAGCATGTTACATGTGCAATGCAACCAACCTCATCAGTACAGGGGAGGATAGTGAACCGAAGTGCATACAAGTACTGTGTAAGTAATTGTGTTTTGCTCAAAATGAACTGTGATGTTTACATTTCTCTGACGTATTTATTCGTATAATTTGTATTACATTCTTTTGGATTGTTGATGCAGCTAGCAGCTACAATGTTAGCATAGCATAACCCTGATCGTTCTGAAGCTAGCATTTCAAAAGTAATTTGCTTGTGCAGAAATACCTGAAAAAGCAGTAGAACAGACTTTTAACAAATCTGAATGATGGTGTAGGCTTTTTTGGCCTCCCGTTGATCTTTTTCTCAAAATCTGTCCGGAACAAGTATAAGCACGTATGGGAAAATGTCAAACTAAAGATTGTAGGACATGCACCTGTTCAGGGTCTGCTGCTGTTATATCATGCAACATTTAGAAACATTATTGATCCTTCTGAAAATCATGCTGCTCTCCCGTCTCTACAGATGCTCCCACATCTCTCACGCTGTCTATGGATGCTGAGGTCAGAGAAGGTCAGCTCATCACCATCAACTGCATTGTTGAAAGCTTTCCATTGTCACAGCTCACCTTGACCATGACTCCTACATCAACTCCTCCGCCTTCAGAAAGTCATTTCTTTGAGCCTGCAAATGATTGGCCCCCTAACACTCTTCAACACAAATTTAATGTAACTTCAGCCCACACAGGCAATTATTGTTGCACTGCCACGAACAGTCTAGGCTCAATCAAAAGCCAACAAAGGACACTGGTTGTGAAATGTGAGTGACTTATCGAGAAATGTTTTGTATATATTTGTATTACCATATCATCGTAACTTAACATTAAGTTTGATCCGACACCTGTCTTTCTCTTTTTCTTTTACTATATTTTGGCGAGTGCAGATTCTCCAAAAGATGTGACCATAAGAGCTGAGCCTGCCCTTATTGTGAATGAAAACAAGTCGTTGACGCTGCATTGCAGTGCCAAGTCCTACCCACCAGCAACCTCTTTCACCTGGATGAAGATGACTGATGGAAAGAGTCAAATCATCTGGAGGACTCACACCTTCAGTCTGAAGTCTGTCAGTTATTCAGACAGCGGACCGTACAGATGTACAGCCCGTAACGACATTGGAGCTGGAGACTCACTGCAGGCGGATGTTAAAGTGAACTGTGAGTACAATAGCGCTATCAAGATTATATAGAAAAAATAGGAGTATTGTAAATTCAGATAAGCATGTCTAAGAGTCAACTAAATGGATTCAAAACCCCTTAACCTGATAAGAATAAGACACAGAAAAGAAAGATAACACAAAAACATTTACATTTGAAGTGTTTGATACAATATACCCTTAACTATTATAGGCCATAATTCTTACTAATAAAACATGTGAAGCATCTTTCTTCTTATGTCCAACATCGGGTAACAAAGGACTTATGCAACTGTGAAAGTGGCAGCTTAAGTGGTTGTTCTAACACAGATTGTAATGTTCAGACAAAATAAGGAAGACATTTCAGTGATGGATGTTAAAGGTATCCAGTGGAGATTCTTTTTCTTTTTTTTAAGTCAAAATTACATTCGCATAACCTCTACCAGCTGTCAATAGATTAAGTATCATGGAGCATATCAGGAATGTGCATTGTGTCCAAGCGCGATTTAAAGAGTAATTTTAAATGTGACATTAACACTTTTTCTACAAATCTGCACATTTTGGAAACGACCACTGAGGGGCACCAAAGATGTAAAGTTCTACACACAGTGGCTTCACATTGTCTTTGGTCGTGTGCCTTGATCCTTGATGATTGTTTGCCCTTTTTTCGTTTTGTCCTAAATTTCACGTAGATGCTCCAAAACATACAAAGATCCTGAGAGCAGAAGACGGGACTCTCTCTGTGGCGCTGAGCTGCAGCAGTCACAGCTATCCCCCAGTTATACAATATTTATGGTACAAGGAGAACACAGGAGAAAAGGACGTCAAAGTGCATGACCGTCAGAACTACACTGTGTATTCAGATCAACCTGGAGTCTACTACTGCATCGCGAAAAATAAAATAAATCAGATTCAGTCCTCTGAAAAGATCCATCTGTTTGACCGTGAGTGAGTTTGAATGAAATGTCTCTTTATTGCTATTTTTTCATACTGGAAATGTGTGGGTTATGGAAATCAGACTTGCCAGAGTACACTTATTCCTCTAAAAAATCACAACAGTTTGTCAGCCTGGCTCTTGTTCAAATACATATATGTGTACATATATACATATGTATATACATTTCTCTTCTATCCACAGGAAGCTGGATGAAGGTCCTTATCTTTCTTTTCCTCATAACTCTGATCATAGTTTTGACAATTGTCTTCGTCTACAGGTAAAGTATGAAAGCAATTACATTTTTAGGATGTTTTGGCACGTTTAACTGACTTAAAACAACTGCCGTTTCACTTCATTTTCAGACAAAAGAGGAAGAAATCAATTCAACAAGGAACTACAAACACACTGCCCTGTATTGGGTTTCTGGTGATGAATCATTTGAACAACCTTTTCTTTACTCCTTTATTGTACAGATCTAGACAATAATGATTAATGATTGCTACAGTGTAGCTAGTCGTTTGGCAAGGAAAAGTCCCAGGCTCTTCCAAAAATGCAACATACAATATGTGTAAGATACAAACAAAAGTGTGCAAGAAGAAACTGAAAATAATTCTAATAAAGAATGACCGATGTGCAAGTAAACGCAAAACGAAGTAAACATTATACACAGATAAATAACAACAGGATGTACTGTACAGTGGAATAAAATACTGCTTATTTAAAAAATGTATAAATATGTGAGATGTAAACGGAGGTAAACATATCATGGTGACTTATCTCTTGTGTGTGTGTGTGTGTGGGTGGAAACACATTCAGGGATGGCGGATGGGCCCCAGGGTGAGAAATCGGATAAACGAGCCCGGCATGGTGGAGCCTTTCAGGAGCAGAGATGACTTACTGCCAGAACAGCCGCGCCGTCCAAAGGCCCAACGGTGCCGGCCGAGTCCAGACTGCGCGTAAGACAGCAGACACACAAACACAGTCCTCACGGGACGAGGCACACTCTGTAGGATCCTGCTGCTCATGCTAGAACTAAAGCATTCATTTAAAATCCTTCAGATATGAAATGCACAATGAGAGTTTCCCCTGTCATTTATTATAATCAGTCACAATATGTTTTTTTTCCATTGTTGTTCCAAAGGCCTGCATCCAACATCAACAGTGTTTACAGTTTTCTGAATCTGCCCTCCGAAAAACAAGTGAGTAAAGCAATTCCAGATTCATTAAAACAAAACAAACATAACATCAAACTTAAAATGATTCCCTCACTTTAAGATCACAAAATACATTACATTGTGCTATGCTGTTGCTTTTTGGGGAATTGTATGACTTATGGAATTTTTAATATGATATTTTTTGGACATTTGCTATGCCATACAGAACCTGTCGTTTTTATGACATTTTTAAGGACATTTTTTCAAGACTCACTGTACAATGCCTAGGATTTTTTTCTGACTTAACATTGACCTTTGTATTTTATTCACTTTATGAAATACTATACAATGACATGTTATGGCATACTGTTGTAAGAACATTTTGACATAACACAATTTGAATTATGACATTTACTGTATGGCTTCTGACAATTAGTTTAGCACTTACACAAAAAATCCCTTCCATTGATCAAGCTGTTGCTTTGCACGCTGAAATATAACTCTGTCCTCACTGTTTTTCAGAATAGTAATCATTCAGTATTTAGTATAGTAGAGCATGAATGACCTGATGACCTACATTTTAAAGCATGAATGAACTGATTCAGTCCTAGTGTTCATTCACTGATCTGTCTTCAGTCTGAATCTGCTCAGGGTCCTTCTGCACAAAAGCCAATCAGACAGCAAGGTGGACACACACAGGATGATTCTCTCAACTACGCGTCTTTGCACTTTGGAAATAAGCAGCAGTGAGAATATATTTTTTAACATATAATACCAGTAAATAAAAGGTTTTGTCGCATGGCAAATGTATTATGTTTTTTTTTTCTGTAGAAACAAACGGGCAGAAGAGGAAGTGTATGCTATTGTAAAGCAAGACAAAAAGGTAATTTTGCTTGTGTTTGGGGTAAACTATGGTGTGTATATATATATATAGAAAAGAAGTATGGCATGTATAGTGTCTGTGTGCCCACTTTACTGTAACAAAATGGATGTTTCCTCTTAAGACGTGACTACTTATTCAAATCAAGTAAAACTTTTTTAATTCTTCCGAGGATAAAATGTATGTAAATGTAAATATTGTTTAGAAAATCCTGATACTGACACCAATGATCTGGTGACTATATCTGTGTTTTCTTCTAGAATCAAAAGAGGCTGGAGGACTACGAGAACATCAGCACAGCACACTCAGCCGTATCTCCGAATCCATTGAATGATGACACAGACACCAGTGAGGATGAATTAGAGATGAATTATTCACAGGTGAACTTCAAGGCAAAGACTCAGAGAGCCGCCAGAGACTTGAGCAGCTCTGATGAAGAGGAGACGCAGTACTCTCACGTCAAAATCTGAGTTTACATTATCTTATCCTGCCTTACAGGTTCAGCTAATTGTGAAATACAATTTGGATTTCAATATGTTTCACTGGCTCTCTGCTTTGATAAGTGTCCAGTAAGTACCAAAATGGTGAGCTTAATCCAAACCCATGAAACCTAAAATTAAAAAGAAGAACATTTTGTTTAAACTTCTGAGTTGTAAAATAAAGTATGCAGGGGAAGATGTACATAATTTTAAAAAAGGACATTTATGATGAGGGCTTTAATGTTGCAATATTGTGCAGAAGAGGCTTGTTTCTGAAATATACATGTTCAAACAATGTGCCAAATACATATTGCTCCATTTCATTACACGCTTTGAATTCAGCTCTTGTATAACTGCCAACAAAATGTCTTTGTATTTTGAAAAAAAATCTAGAAAAAAAGTCCTGTATGTGTTTGTAGCGCACAATTCTGTGTTTCAGCTAAAATTTCCCTTAAACGCTGGTTATACACTTTTTACCTCAAGGTCTATGAGACTAAGCTGTCTTCTCTTGTTCCAATTGAGTGTCAGAAACGTTCTCTTCTTCCTCTGCATCTCCTCCGATGCTTCCTCTGGACTGCAGACGGATCTCAGCATACTCCGTCTTTGAGTCCAGGCCTCTAATCTCCCCTTCCCCAGGCTTACCCTTTGAATGGGCCTGCAGTTTAGCAAAGTCCACATTGACGTAATGGAGAGGTTCTTCATCAGCTACTTCTTTCTCTTCCAGAAAAGCTTTATTAGCATAAATCACATCCACTTTTGAAGAGTTGATCTACAGAAAACAAAATAGTTACTTTAGTGATGTAGCAAAGGAGGTAGTAGTGCACAATAAGGCCCATTGTTAAACAGAACACTTTTGGGAAATAAGCTTGTTAGCGAGTAAACCAACCGTTCATCGTTTCCTTTTTTTAAATAGCATACTATGATGTTTGTGACATTCTATGGCACACTTTTTTTGTAATTGCCATTGCCATTGTGTGTGTCATACCAAATGATGAGATCTCCTTATGGCATAATATACTATGTTTTCTTTTTACATAACATTTACATATGGAAATGCTATACTGTGATTTTATTATAACATAAAACATTATGACATTTTACACATGTTTCATGGCATACTATACTATCAATTAAAACATGTTCATGACAGTTAGTTCTGAAATACATTTATAACATACTATACTGCAACTTATTACATTTTTATGGCATACCTGACGGACTTCTTTAAGCGCTTTTTTCCACAAACTTAAGTTGGACTTATGACCTTTGGTGCTCTTTTTTCTATTATTATGATTAGTATGTTTATTAATTAGGTTTCATTAGCTTTTTATATACTTTCACTTTTATCCATTGTGTTAGCCAATGTATTAGTTACACCTGTTCAACTGCTTTGTAACACAAATATCTAATCAGCCAATTACAAGGCAGCAACTCAAAGCATTTGGGATGTAGACATGGTCAAGACGATCTGTTGAAGTTCAAACAGATCATCAGAATGGGGAGGAAAGGTGATTTAAGTGACTTTGAACGTGGCATGGTTGCTGCCATCAGTATTTCAGAAACTGCTGATCTACTTGGATTTTCACGCAAAACCATCTGTATGGTTTACAGAGAATGGTCCGGAAAAAAAGAAATCCAGTTCCCTGGGCGAAAATATGCCTTGTTGATGCCAGAGGTCAGAGGAGAATGGCCCGACTGGTTAAAGATGATGGAAAGCCAACAGTAACTCAAATAACCACTCGTTACAACCAAGGTATATGCTGAAGACCATCTCTGAGCGCACAACACGTCGAACCTTGATGCAGATGGGCGACAGCAGCAGAAGACAACACTGGGTGCCACTAGGGACAGGAAACTTAGGCTACACACATTTAAGAGACGGATCACGTTTTGTTCAGTCGGATAATCTCCACATGTCTACCCTACTTTTATAATTTTCTAATCATAAATCTATCGATCATCAATCTATCGATTTGATTTATGATAAAAAAAACGTTGAACTGAACCAAACGTGATCCGTGTCTTAAATGTGTGTCAACCACAGACCTTATTTCGAGCTATAGAAATTGCATTGCTTTTTTGTCGAGGGAACCGGAAGGTACCCATGCGCAGCTTACTTCCGGGTTTTAGGACGCGTCACTGCACCACTCTATTCTGAAATACTTTTATAACATACTATACTGCAACTTTTTACATTTTTATGGCATACCTGACGGACTTCTTTAAGGGCTTTTTTCCACAAACTTAAGCTGGACTTATGACCTTTGGTGCTCTTTTTTCTATTATTATGATTAGTATGATTATTAATTAGGTGTTAGCTATCATGTTAGCTTTTTATATACTTTCACTTGTATCTATTGTGTTTTACTACCTTCTTATTTTTTATTATCTTTGCATTATATTTAAGTTTTTATTTAAATGAACCATGTTCCAAAGCACTTTGTTCTGCATGCTTTACTGATTACTGAAACTGATTATACAACATTTTTCATGGCATACAACACAATGACTTTTCACCGCTGTTTTAACAGCAAAAAGTACATTTTGTTGGGTAAGTGAAGCTTCCAGTTTTAATGCATCTGCTGGTGTGTGCACGACATGAACTCACCGCATCAGTAACTACAGGGTTGCAAGTCTCCGCCTCTCCCTTGTCAGGGGAAGAGATTACTTTTCTTTTCCTAAAAGCAACACACACAACAATATAGAGTCATTTGTTTAAATGTTGTAGTCTTTCATTTCATGGTGATATTTAGCAATGTTGTGGCCATGGCTGCACTACTTAAATGTGTTGCCAGCCTGGTCACAAGTCAAGTGCCTGATGACACCCTCAAAATGTGTTTACACTTTTTTTAAACCAGCTTTATAAGAAAAGGGTTGTCTCTCACCAGTAGTAGATTATCAGCAGCGGTACACAAACCAGCAGCATCCCCAGAGCTGCCACTGCAAAACCGATCCCAATAGACAAAGAGTGGAGGCCTGAAAAGTCCCCACAAACCACATTGATCATTAAAACCAGAGGCAGATTATGCAAATAAACTAACAAATACAAATTCACCATCTCGCTAATTCCTCTACCTTGCTCAGTTTTGCTAAGCGACATGTTAAACGCAAAACTGTCAGAGCCCAGTGAGTTGATGCTAAGGCAGACTAGAGAGAGCGTGTCTTCGTCCAGATCGTACAGGGTGATGATGCTATTCATGCCCACGTTCCCCAGGGACTCTTCCCTGATTGGGATGGCAGCAGAGTGATTGACAGGCTCTCCGGCCAACTTCCAAACCAGGGAGGGAGGCGGGTTCCCCTGGCTGTAGCAGGAACATTGGATCGTGGATGAAATCTTGATGCAACTGGAAGAAGACAGGATCTCTGGAGGAACTGAGAAAAATAAAGTAATTGAATCTTGTTTAAGGAAAACAAAGGATTGCATTTAATTAAAAAAATTGTATTCATCTCACATGTGACGTCAAAGCTGACACGCTCTGAGGTGCCAGGTCCGTGGACATTCAGAGCTTCACAGTAATACTGATCTTCTGAGAGTTTGGTCACATTGAAGGTGAGGTCTCTCTCAGAGCCCATCACCTTCTCCTCTCTTCCAGCCGCTCTGAACCAGGTGAAGTTCACTGCTGCTGGATTGGCGATGCTTGTGCAGGTCAGAGTTACAGAGCTGCCGTCCTGCACCGGACCAGAGGGGTCAGCAGACACCGAGGTGTTCTTAGGGAGATCTGAAAAGCATGGTGTTTAGCTGACGTTACTAGTTCATGCTATGTCAGTCACTTCAAAATAAAAAATAATGTCTTGGTTTTAAGTTAAGGATTTAGGCCTGTTGGAGTTGCTTACCACCAATGGTACAAGAATCACAGTTTGGGAATCACAGTCTATGTAAAGACACATTTACATTTTGAGTTGCCTTTTTTTAGAAAACTGAGACAACAACCACTTCATTCTCTGTGTTTGGAAATAACATCTTAATAATTAAACAAAAGAAAAGAAACCAAACACAACATCCTCACATGATTTAAAGCTCACCTATTATGGAATATTTGAACAATATATTATGGGGCCTATTTCAACCCTGTTATAAAAGTGCTGATTCTGGGTCTGGCCCTTTAAACGTAACTGAGCTGCTGCTGGCCACGTCCCGTCTGCATGCAAGCGGTGAGCTCTGTGAAGAGAAGGCTGTCTAACTGCAGAAACTCTGCTGAACGCTGCCTTGATTAAACATCATATTATGTTCCAAACTACATTAGGCAATATTTGTGAAACAGTATGGAGCTCAAACGCTTTCTCTCTCGTGGGTTTACCTCAAGGGCAGTAACTTTTATATCCGGCTTCTTTACACATATTCTCTCCAGTACAGCGTTAGCTCTGAGTATGCTTGCTAATGTAAACACAGACCATATTACTTCCAAAATACGTCACACATTGTTTCTGATGTATACAGCACATAGCTTGACATGTTCTTTTTTCAGTGTTTACCGCTAGAACAGTGCCATTATATGCATTATATGTATATAACACAGTGGCGACTCGTCATCTTCGTGGAGAAAGTTAAGACATCAATGGACAGGGGTGGGGTTGTGGGGGCCGTGTTCCTTGATTTACGGAAAGCTTTTGACACTGTTAATCATAACATCTTATTGCAAAAAATGCTCAACTTAAATGTTTCTATAGAATTCACCAACCTCTTTAAATCGTATCTTTCATCCCGCTCCCAATGTGTTAAAACTGAGAACCATAAGTCTAGTGCGCTATGTCTGTCAACTGGAGTACCGCAGGGCTCTGTATTGGGCCCAATTCTGTTTAGCATTTACATCAATGATCTGCCTTCTGTGTGTGGACAATGTGATGTATTAATGTATGCTGATGATGCAGTTGTTTTTACTCATGGCAAAACCGCAGAAGAGGCTGCAACCAAGCTAACTGATGTCTTGGTGAATATAATAATAATAATAATAATAATCCTTATATTTATTATAGCGCTTTATCAATGACTCAAAGCGCTTTACAAATACACATTACACATACAGATCATACATACATGTATGGTCTAATGGAATATTACATCCTGGCTTAACAACAATTGTTTGCAACCAAATATTTCAAAGACAGTGTGTATGTTCTTCTCCAAGGGCCACAGCATTATAACAGAACAAGACGTTTTCTTTTCTGGAAGGAGACTACAGGTTGTCTCGGAGTATAAGTACTTAGGAGTACACATTGACACAAACCTCAGTTTCAAAACCCATATCAAAAAGGTCTGCAATAAAGTGAAGTTCAATCTGTCAAATTTCAGATACATTAGAAACTTCCTATCAACTGCAGCAGCAAAGCTATACCTTCACTCAATGGTCCTCTCCCACATCAACTACTGTCTGATAAGCTGGTCTAATGCACACTCTACAGCTCTTTACTAGCACTTGTCAAAAAGACATACTACATGCCAATGTACAAAACACCCTATTGTGTGCACTACCAAGGTTGTTAATATTAAAGCATAATGATGGCTTCATGAATCGTTCTTACCAGCTTTTGGGAGAATGTGAAAAACCTCTTTAAAGGTCACCTATTATACTATTTTTAGGCATCTATATTATATGTCTCATATATATTAAAAACATGTCTATGAAGTGTTTTGCTCAAAATACCAAACAGATCACCCATTCTAGCCATGCCTCATACCCCTCTATTTCAGCCCTGTTAGAGAAGTACTGATTCCGAGTCCGTTGCTTGCTAATGTAAACACAGACCATATTACTTCCAAAACGTTGCGCATTGTTTCTGATAGGGCGACGTTTCTGATAGGGCCGTGGAAGTAAAGCCAGCTCATATTTCCGATATTACATAATAACGGTAAGCAGCTCCGTTGTACCCCTATTTTTAGAGATGTGTGCAAGGAGGAAAAGAGAGAGGGTTGTATTTTCTGACACTTGGTGATGTCTACACATATTTATGTAGTAAAGACATCTAAAAGTGCATTTTGCATGATATGTGACCTTTAAAAATAAGAATAAACTCAAGTCAGCTCATAAATGACTTTGGTTTGGTGTCCTCTTTGGTGTCCCCAGAGGAACATTTCATAACATCACATTATATAAAATGAAGGGAATGATTAAATGTGAACTGAATCAACATCCTACTCAGCAACAAGAAAAGGCCTGAAACATACTCACAAAGAACATGGAGGGTCATAAACTTTTCAAACCGAAGGTCGGTGTTGCCAGCTTGTCGTTTGTAGAGAGCGGTGCACGAAAAGTTCTGTCCATTGTGGAGGTAAGAAGAGGTGAAGTTCATAACAGAGACCATGGATTCAGATTCATGTTTCTCCTCAATGTCACCTATCCTGGGGGTCCAAGTCAGATCTGGGGGAAGGATGGGACACGGAGCTACAGCCGTGCAGATCAACGTCACCAGAGCCCCCTCCTCTACCTCCAGTGTAGATGGAGTTATGGTAGGTTGGTCCAGTGAATCTAAGGAGTAAAAAAAACAAGTACATGACAAGAGGGAAACCAAAAGATGTGTAAAGTGAAAAAATGAAAAGACACAATACAAACTTTGAGTGGTGATACGGACTCCTGTTGGAAAGGTGGCCTTCAGCCTGTTATTACACTGAATCCTGAAGTAGTAGTTGTCAGAATGGGACGGTGGCATGTTGTAGAAGATGGTGGTGCACTCCTTGTTCTGCAGGTTCCCTGTGAGGTTTCCGCTTGCCTGATCTCCAGTGAGGCTGGAATCAAACACAATTGTTCCCCTCGTGCTTCTTCTTCTCCAAATTGCTTTGCAGGAATCATCCAGATCTACATCGTACTTTGAGTCGAAGTCGAAAGTGCAGGGGACCTTCACACAGGATCCAGTTAGTCCATCTATTCTCAGAGGCATGGTGATTTCAAACGTCATGCATAAGGTACCTGAGGTGAAATAAAAGCAATACATTAAATATCCATCGAGGTTAAAATAAAATTAAGTATTCAATCAACTACAAGACTCAGGGACAGTTTTATCCCACAGGCCATAAGACTAAACACTTGAGCTCTTTTAAGTGCCTCGATAAACATTCATCTGTTTATCATCTTGCAATCTACTTATTTATCTAAATAGTTATCACCGCAATAAACCATATTTAACTTTGTCTTAATGAACAATATTTAATTTCATATTCTGTTCTTGTATATCATATTCTATTTACATAAATTAAATTGTATTTTATTATATATGTTGCATCGTTGGAGGAGCTCGGGTCATAAGATTATCATTGCCATTTCTACACTGTAGCTTATCTTGAAAAAAGATTAAGCAGAAATGTAAACTGTCATAATTAAAAGAAAACAAACCCGTCCAAATTAACAGCACACACACACAAAACCTTTACTTTAAACAAAAAAGCGTATTTGGCACTTTTTGTGAGTAATCAAAAGACATCGAAAGGCATTAAATTGTTGGAAACCCTACCTTGAAGTAGAAGGAGGAAAACCTTTAAAGCACCCGTCATGCTTTTCTGTCAGCTTGATATTCCTACAGAGGCACCACACACACACAACAGACACAAAATCTATTCATTTGTATTTACTAGTTACCTACTACAATATGAATAGCCCTACTAAAGAAGAATACATGTTTTATAGGGGGGGAATTATATTAACTTCACTTCATACTTCACAAAGTAAATATCATCAAATGTGACGTTTGATTTTTGTTGCAAAACATTTTATGTAGAAAGTAATAAAACAAATACAAAACTTCTTTAAAAGGTATGTAAATTATTCTTACAAATAAAAAACAATATGATATAAAGTAACAACATGAATGAATTAACTAAAAAAAATAAGCCTGACATTTTATGACTTGCAATAATTTGAGTTTTTAAAAACAATTATCTTACCTTACAGCCAACAATGATGGTCAGCATACGATATTTTCAGTTTCTAGAGAAGAAATAAATACATTAGTAGTAGTAGTATATACAGTACTGATCTATGTTTCAGAAATGGATAAAGAAACAAATAAAGGTTTCACCAGCATGGAAGGGTCAGTGGTAATAGTCCAACAACTGAGTCATGTCAGACTGGTGTCGTGTGTTGATGGCTTTTGAAAGATGTGTCCGGGGTGTGGACTTCAGCACAATAGAGTTTTGAATCTTTTTACTACATTAATGCAAGTCCCATCAGTCATTTCCTAAGGGATTCATATAACAATGTTCCAAACCAGAATTTTATAATGAAATATAAATGTGTTTTCAAAAGTGAGTTGTTGATTTACATATTCAACAAACAGAAAATATAAAAAATGACTTTGTTTCCACACTCAAGTATTCAACTGTTTCATCAGAGCATTTTGTCATTTTGAAACAGAGGAAGTGAAGATAATGAAAGGCAATGCAGAAAGAGGGAAGAAACAACAATGTGATACTTTACATGCATAAACAGTAGAAGTCAAAGTGTCATAAATGAAACAGTCAAGTTGAAGTAAATATAAGTGAAAACAAAGTGAAGTATAAAGGCTTTACCAAACTAGTTGTCAGTAGGCATTGTGTGTGATGTTTTTGAACAAGCAGAAACTATTTCTGAACTTTCCTGAGCAGCCACATTTAGGAGCTACGCAGAGATGAACACGATGAAGGAAAAGTGAATCAGTTTGATTCTTATAACACGTAAACTTGGTGTTTGACATACCAGTATTTATGCTGGGATTTTTCTACAAGTATGTAATCACACCGAGAAAGTGATACAGCACTGATGTCAGTTACCAAGAAAGACAGATGTGGTTAAATGTCTGAAACATGAGGTCAAAGCCTTATACAGACAGATTCTTATCTGTTACAGTAAGCATCTCAAAAGAGCAGGAAATTAGCTCTAAAGGTGCCACGACTGGTGCAAATAAATATATATATCACAACTAAATATACAATTACATTGTATCTGGTTTGTTATTGATCATGTAAAAATTACATCTTACAAGTGAAGATCATCTTAAGCACCAACTCACTAACAGGAAGGAAATTGTGTTCTTTGTCAACAATTTTCTACCAGCTTATTACTTAAAGTGGACCTATCATGCTATATTTGAATAATATAGTGTAGGACCATACCTATATAAGGCATATTTATACTTTTTTCTTTTCAAAATACCAAACAGATCATGCATTTTAGCCATGCCCCATTTCACTCAATTTGCACTTTTTTTTAGCTCTGCTCTGCAAGGGCAGATTCAGTGAGAACAGCACCATCTACTGGCCTGGCATATGTACTACAGCGTCTCCAGCGCTTTCGAACGGCAATGGCCGTGGCTGTGTCCTCCTGATTGGTGGAGTTGGCCCAATAGCCGTAGCGCCACCATCCTGACGTCAGGACAGTGTTCAAATCTGGATCAGTTTTTATCAGATCCGTTGCAGCCCCTTTTTTAGAGATTTGGGTATGGAGGAAAATAGAGAGGGTTGTGTTTTCTGACACTTGGTGAGTTCCCTGGAACACCGGGGACACATATTCATGTATAAAAGACGTACAAAAGTGCATTTTGCATGATAGGTCCCCTTTAAATGATGTGTGTGCACACTGCACTGCAAGGAAATAGTGGATGTTGTTAAAATACTTAAAGGTAGGGTAGGTAAGTTTGAGAAACCGGCTCGAGATACACTTTTTGTTATATTCCATGGAATGCTCTTAACATCCCGATAGCAATGAATATCTTAAGTGCTTTGACAAAAAATCCATAAAAAAATGTCATCTGTGGAAGCCGTAATACTGTAAAAAGCACGACCAATCATTTTAGCCGGCCCGGCTAAAATAACTGGATGGCCTACCTGCCTGTCAGCCTTCCATCTGTGCACAAACTTATCTCGTGCCCTCATTGGTCATGTGCGCGTTCGTGTGTGTTGGAGGAGGGGCTCTGTAAGGAAGTGGCAGATTTTCTCCGGTTGTGTATTTTCAAATTCTAGCGATCTCGAGCCGGTTTCTCAAACTTACCTACCCTACCTTTAACAAGAAAACTGGTAATAAGTTACACAGGTTTCAGGGATGTTGGAGTGTGTGTGTGTGCAATGCATGATTTCATGCAAGCCTGCTCACGTATTTGTTGGAAATAAATAAAAAATATGTAAAGTGCTACTAAAAATACTCCTGTAGGACATCAAGTTTATGACTTTCTCTGAAAAGGGTATCATACAAGATATTTGGTGATACGCTTTACTGTGACCAAAAATTACAAGGATATACAAATATGGACACGACACAGGACCAATGACTAGTAATTGTGAAAATATTGTTAAAACTGACACATATCTTGAGATGACAATAAGCACAACTAATAATAGGCTCGACTGGAAGTTATGCAGCAACTTACCTACTATATGTGCAATAACAACCTATGTGCAAAAGCCTAAACAGCACATTGCAATATAGCTAAATATGAATCAAAGAATGCATGATGGGAAGATAATTAAGATATTTGTGTGCCATTGGTATTATTAAGTTGAACAAATTGCAAATTAGAACAAACTTTTTATGGATAAACATTTAATAGTGCATTCATGAGAGTGTATGCCTTCATTTGTTTGCATATCAAATGTACATGTCCAACTCACTTAATTCATTAAAATGTAATTTATGAAAACAAATAGACAGGATATGGACATATGAAACAATCTAAGACTAAACAGAAATAGTGACCCAGCAAACAGTCTAATCAAATATATGTATTGTTATATTGGATTGCATATCGGCAGGTGTTGCTCAGACCAGCAGGGGGAGCTCAGGCTCAGAGAGAAACCTGGCAGTAACAGACTCCCAGCTGCAGGCTGATGTGTTAAACTGCTGAAGGCTTGCAGCTGGTTCAGCGTTGAACCTCAGCCGCCACTCAAGCATCAAGTAACAGTTTCCCCCACTGCGTTCGTACACATCTGTTCAACATCTGGAGCCAGTGCACCTCCTCGTGTCACAGTTTATCCACAGAGTCATGAGTCCAGGTATAGAATCAGCTGATGAGGTGGATCTTTGATCAGACATTTTATATCATTTGTGATGTTTATCATTTTGTAAAGCACTTTGAGCTACACCTGCCTTATGAAAAGTGATATATAAATAAAGCTTTATTATTATTATTATTATTATTATTATTATTATTATTATTATTATTATTATTATTATTATTATTATCATTATTATCATTATTATATAATAATAAAGATGCATCTTTCGTAACGATAGTTCATTTTAACCTTTTTTTTGTATTACTACTCTTAAGTTCTGTCATTACTTTCCCAGAAGCAGAAGAAAAGCTATTGTCATATCCAGCTTATTACATTACAGCATTGGGGGCAATTTTGTTATGTCTAAATCTTATTCCAGTCACACAACTCGTGTGTTTCTTGATATGTTTATTAGAAGCAACATATAGTTTAAGTTTGGCGTCTAAGCTCGGGCCTCATCATTCCACAGATTTACATAGAGAATTGAGAGATGAATAGATAACTATTCCCAAGCCTACAGGTGGAAGCTGGGGCAGGCGAGCAGTAGCAACATGATAGCAGTCGTAGCAGCAGCAGCATTAGCGAGGCAGAGGCAGGCAGATCTGGCAGCTTAAATAGAGCGGCATGTTTAGGAGAATGGTTGGTTGTAAGAGGGACGAGGCGCGTCACGTGTTAATGTATCATTGGCGAGTTGACTGCCTGAACTAGCTCGCAGGCTTCGCCCCATATCAGTCAGATAACTCACTTGTTTCTTGATATATTTATTAGAAGCAGCATATCATTTTTGTTTGGCGTCTAGGCTCGTGCCTCATCACTCCACAGATATACATAGAACATTGAGTGATGATTAGATAACTATCCCCCAACACTGCATGGAGATTGGATACTCATCCCCCAAAACTGTGTGACTGACGCTGGTGATGTTAGTCTGATAAGTTGAGGGCCTGGCGAAGCTGCCACGTGGCCATTCCCCTTAAACACCGTGGCTTTGAGGGGAATGTACTACCTAGTGAAACTGGCTGCTATGTGAAGGCCAGGGAACAGCCCCAAAAGCCATTCCCCTTAAACACTGCAGCTTTGAGGGGAATATACTACAGTACATAGTGACTGCTATGTGTAGGTCTAGGAGAGACCAGTGCCAACCCACGCACAGGCTTTGAAGGGAAGGGTTTTGAATTCCGCTGTTGTATAACTGCCAACAAAATGTCTTTGTTTTTGTATTTTAGAGAAAAAAAAAATCGATTAAAAAGTGTGACAAGCTATGTCCAGCTGCTTCTTTCTTGCTTTGCAAAGGTTTTTAATGTAAAATCAGGAAGACAAAATAGCATTCAAATATTAAATATAGTAAAAGTCATGATTTCAAAGGAGGAAATTCCAGGGTAACTACCTGCTATACAGTATGTATTCATTTTATAGTGATTTTGTTTTGCTATGCATCTTATGGACACAAAAAAAGGGGTACAGTTACAAAAGTCCAGAACTAAACTTGAAGCAACAAGTGTGACTACGTTTTAAATAGGTTGCATGCAGAGCAGTTTCTACTACCGCTTCTGCAGTTTTATCTCAGCGGGGATCTGCTTGTATGGTGAAGTCCTGTAGCAGTTTGAAGCGCACATTGCTGTATTTCACTAACATTTCCCTTAAACGTCAGCCATAAACATTTCACCTCAAGGTCTATGAGACTAAGGCGTCTTCTCTTGTTCCAATTGAGTGTCAGAAACGTTCTCTTCTTCCTCTGCATCTCCTCCGATGTTTCCTCTGGACTGCAGACGGATCTCAGCATACTCCGTCTTTGAGTCCAGGCCTCTAATCTCTTCCCCAGGCTTACCCTTTGAATGGGCCTGCAGTTTAGCAAAGTACACATTGACGTAATGGAGAGGTTCTTCCTCAGCTACATCTTTCTCTTCCAGAAAAGCTTTATTAGCATAAATCACATCCACTTTTGAAGAGTTGATCTACAGAAAACAAAAGAGTTGCATTATATTTCAGTTTGTATTCATATGCATCATGTTCTAAAGCACTTTGTTCTGCATGCTTTACTGATGACTGACTCTGATTATTTATCATGGCATACAAAACAAATACTTTTGAAGGCGACAATGACTTTGTAGAGCATACTATATCATGAGTTTTAAAAATATATGTTTTTAAACATACCATACAATGCCTTTTTGATATAGTATATAATTACTTTTTGAGACACCTTTCACCGCTGTTTTAAAAGCAAAAAGTACATTTTGTTGGGTAAGTGAAGCTTCCTGTTTTAATGCATCTACCGATATGTGCAAAACATGAACTCACCACATCAGTAACTACAGGGTTGCATGTCTCCGCCTTTCCCTTGTCCGAGGAAGAGATGACTTTTCCCCTCCTAAAAGTAACACACACAACAATATCGAGTCATTTATTATAATTTTATATTAAAGTCTTTCATTTCATGGTGATATTTAGCAATGTTCTGAGGTGGCCATGGCTATACTGCTTAAATGTGCTGCCAGCCTGGTCACCAGTCAAGTTACACCCCTGATGACAACCTCAAAATGTGTTTACAATTATTTTAAAACCAGCTTTGAAAAACAGGTTGTCTCTCACCGGTAGTAGATTATCAGCAGCGGTACACCCACCAGCAGCATCCCCAGAGCTGCCACTACAAAACCGATCCCAAAAGACAACAAGTGGAGGCCTGAAAAGTCCCCACAAAACACAATGATCATTAAAACCAGAGAGGCAGATTATGCAGAAAAACCAAACAAATACAAATTCCCAATCTCGCAATTCCTCTACCTTTGCTAAGCGACATGTTAAAAGCAAAACTGTCAAATCCCAGTGAGTTGATGCTGAGGCAGACTAGAGAGAGCGTGTCTTCGTCCAGATCGTACAGGGTGATGATGCTCTTCATGCCCACGTTCCCCAGGGACTCTTCCCTGATTGTGATGGCAGCAGAGTGATTGACAGGCTCTCCGGCCAACTTCCAAACCAGGGAGGGAGGCGGGTTCCCCTGGCTGTAGCAGGAACATCTGATCATGGATGAAATCTTGATGCAACGGGAAGAAGACAGGATCTCTGGAGGAACTGAGACAAAGAAGTAATTTGATTTTGTTTAATGGAAACAAAGGATTGCCTTTAATTAAACAAGTGTATTAATCTCACATGTGACGTCAAAGCTGACATGCTCTGAGGTGCCAGGTCCGTGGACATTCAGAGCTTCACAGTAATACTGATCTTCTGAGAGTTTGGTCACATTGAAGGTGAGGTCTCTCTCAGAGCCCATCACCTTCTCCTCTATTCCAGCCGCCCTGAACCAGGTGAAGTTCACTGCTGCTGGATTGGCGATGCTTGTGCAGGTCAGAGTTACAGAGCTGCCGTCCTGCACCGGACCAGAGGGGTCAACAGACACCGAGGTGTTCTTAGGGAGATCTGAAAAGGATAGTGTTTAGCTGACGTTAATAGTTCATGCTATGTCAGTCACTTCAAAATAAAAAAGAATGTCTTGGTTTTAAGTTAAGGATTTAGGCCAGTTGGAGGTACAAGAATCACAGTTTGGGAATCACAGTCTATGTAAAACACGTAGGTGATCAACAGAACTCACTCATAACGGACCACTGACATAGAAATGATTTTGAGGTTGTCACACAATGTGACAATGTGTTACTGTCCAAAGTCTAGAAACTTTGGTGTTGCCCTGTGACTGTCAGTCTTGGCCTCAGAGACCATGTTTGGGTGACCACAACTGGATATACAGTAGAGCCATATTCAGTCTGTCAGTCAATATATTTACTGTGAAAATCAACTTACACTGAATGTCCAGCTGAATCAGTGTTGAATTTTGGTCCCCATGCTCATTTTTTGCTTCACAGTAGTAGTCACCACTGCTGCTTGGTTTGACATTGTTTAAAACCAAACTTGATCCAGCGTCCTTTTCCTCTTCATCACCTTTGTACCAGGTGTAGTTGGTCACAGGTGGGTTGGCCCGGCTATTACAAAGCAGAGAAACAGAGCTGCCCTCCAAAAGTGGACCTTTAGGCTCAATGATTATTGCAGTTTCCTTGGGAGGAACTAAATAAAACAAAATAAATATATTTTTTAATGTTGCTGGTCAATATTTATCATCTGTGTGACTGTTTTTCAATCAGACTTACATTGTACGTCTATCTGAGTGATGGATGAGTTCTGGGTTCCGTATCTGTTACTGACTTTACAGTAAAAGTGTCTGTCAACTTCTGAGACAGTGATGGAAAACCTTTTCCCCGAACCCACATCGGTCACCTGACCTCCATTCACTTTGTACCAAGTGTACACAGCTGGATTGGCATTGCCGTTGCAGGTCAGATTCACCAAGCTGCCCTCTTTTGCTGTAGCAGAGTAGCTGACTGATGTGTTCGTTGGAGGATCTGGAAGAGATGATTGAAAATATAGTAAGCTGTTGTTGTTACCGTTAGACAGAGCCAGGCTAGTTTTCCCACTTGTTGCCAGTCTTTGTGCTGTGCTACGCTAACCAGCTTCTGGCTGTAGTTACATTTTTCACAGACAAATGTGAAAGTGAAACAAATGTTCTCATATAGCACTTGTCAAAAAGAGATACTACTACAGGTATACAAAACACCCTGCACTACCAAGGTTATTAATAGTAAAGCATTTTGATGGCTTCATAACTCAATAACATGTCTTACCAACTTTTGGGTTGCCAAAATGTGAAAAACCTCTTTAAATAATAGAAATAAGAATAAACTCTAGTAAGTCAGCACATAAATGACTTTAAATGTTAGTAATCATTTAAAAAGTCGTTTATCAATTTTTTCCAGCAAATAATCAAGTCTGCAGTTTTCAGATTCACCAGAGCAACATTCAGTCTGTTCAAAGTGTCAATCAATGTATTTACTGTGAAAATCAACTTACACTGAATGTCAAGCCGAATTAGGGTTGAATTTTGGTCCCCATGCTCATTTTCTGCTACACAGTAGTAGTCACCACTGCTGCTTGGTTTGACATTGTTTAAAACCAAACTGGATCCAGCCTCCATTTCCGCTTCATCAACTTTGTACCAGGTGTAGTTGGTCACAGGTGGGTTGGCCCGGCTTTTACAAAGCAGAGAAACAGAGCTGCCCTCCAAAAGTGGACCTTTAGGCTCAATGATTATTGTAGTTTCCTTAGGAGGAACTAAATAAAAAATAAATATAATTTTTCAACTAGATAATCAAGTCTGCAGTTTTAGTTAACACAACTTGATGCAAATACTCTGCAGATTCCCCAAAGGAACATTTCATAACATCACATTATATCAAATGAAGGGAATGATTAAATGTGAACTAAATCAACATCCTTCTCAGCAACAAGAAAAGGCCTGAAACATACTCACAAAGAACATGGAGGGTCATAAACCTTTCCAACCGAAGGTCGGTGTTGCCAGCTTGTCGTTTGTAGAGAGCGGTGCACGAAATATTCTGTCCATTGTGGAGGTAAGAAGAGGTGAAGTTCATAACAGAGACCATGGATTCAGATTCATGTTTCTCCTCAATGTCACCTATCCTGGGGGTCCAAGTCAGATCTGGGGGAAGGATGGGACACGGAGCTACAGCCGTGCAGTTCAACGTCACCATAGCCCCCTCCTCTACCTCCAGTGTAGATGGAGTTATGGTAGGTTGGTCCAGTGAATCTGAGGAGTAAAAAAAACGAGTATGACAAGAGGGAAACCAAAAGATGTGTAAAGTGAAAACATTTAAAGACACAATACAAACTTTGAGTGATGATATGGACTCCTGTTGAATAGGTGTACTTCAGCCCGTTATTACACTGAATCCTGAAGTAGTAGTTGTCAGAATGGGACGGTGGCATGTTGTAGAAGATGGTGGTGCAGTCCTTGTTCTCCAGGTTCCCTGTGAGGTTTCCTTGCAGAATGTTTCCGCTTGCCTGATCTCCAGTGAGGCTGGAATCAAACACAACTGTTCCGGCCGTGCTTCCTCTGATCCAAATAGCTTTGCAGGAATTATCCAGATCTTCATCAAACTTTGAGTCGATGCCGAAAGTGCAGGGGACCTTCACACAGGATCCAGTTAGTCCCTCTATTCTCAGAGGCATGGTGATTTCCCACTTCAAGCATAAGCTACCTGAGGTGAAATAAAAGCAATACATTAAATATCCATCAAGGTTAAAAACAAATTAAGTATTCAAACAACTACCAGACTGAGGGACAGTTTTATCCCATATTTCGTCTATATTATATTTTATTATATTTGTTGTATCGTTGGAGGAACTCGGGTCATAATATTTTCATTGTCATTTCTACACTGTAGCTTATCTTGAAAAAAAAAATAAAATTAAGCAGAAATGTAAACTGTCATAATTAAAAGAAAACAAACCCGTCCAAATTAACAGCACACACACACAAAACCTTAATTTTAAACAAAAAAGCATTTTTTTGCACTATTTTTAATTTTAGGCATTACATTGTTGGAAACCCTACCTTGAAGTAGAAGGAGGAAAACCTTTAAAGCACCCGTCATGCTTTTCTGTCAGCTTGATATTCCTACAGAGGGACCAGATCCAGATCCATAAAATATTTTGCATATGTTTTGCAAAACCTTACTGTAGAAAGTAATAAAACAAATACAATAACTTCTATATATATATATATATATATATATATATATATATATACATATATAACAAAATGGCTGAATTAACTAACAAATTAAGCCTGACATATTACGACTCGCAATAATTTGAGTTTTTAAAAACAATTATCTTACCTTACAGCCAACAATGATGGTCAGCAAACGATATTTTCTGTTTCTAGAGAAGAAATAAATACATTAGTAGTAGTAGTATATACAGTACTGATCTATGTTTCAGAAATGTATAAAGAAACAAATAAAGGTTTCACCAGCATGGAAGGGTCAGTGGTAATAGTCCAACAACTGAGTCATATCAGACTGGTGTCGTGTGTTGATGGCTTTTGAAAGATGTGTCCGGGGTGTGGACGTCAGCACCATAGAGTTTTGAATATCTTTTGACTACATTAATGCAAGTCCCATCAGTCATTTCCTAAGGGATTCACATGACAATGTTCCAAACCAGAATGTTATAATAACATATAAATGTGTTTTCAAAAGTGAGTTGTTGATTTACATATTCGACAAACAGAAAATATAAAAAATGACTTTGTTTCCACACTCAAGTACTCAACTGTTTCATCAGATCATTTTGTCAATTTGAAACAAAGAGGAAGTGAAGAGAAACAAAATGAAAGGCAATGCAGAAAGAGGGAAGAAACAACAATGTGATACTTTACATGCATAAACAGTAGAAGTCATAAAGTGTCATAAATGAAACAGTCAAGTTGAAGTAATTATAAGTGAAAACAAAGTGAAGTATAAAGACTTTACCAAACTAGTTGCCAGTAGGCATTGTGTGTGATGTTTTTGAACAAGCAGAAACTATTTCTGAACTTTCCTGAGTAGCCACATTTAGGAGCTACGCAGAGATGAACACGATGAAGGAAAAGTGAATCAGTTTGATTCTTAAAACACAGATACTTGGTGTTTGACATACAAGTATTTATGCTGGGATTTATATAGAAGCATTTAATAACTACAAGAAAGTAATGTTACAAACTGTACGCTGATTTTCAAAACAGCACTGATGTCAGTTGGCTGTAAGAAAGACAGAAGGGGTTAAGCGTCTGAGACATGAGGTCAAAGCCTTATACAGACAGATTCTTATCTGTTACAGTAAGCATCTCAAAAGAGCAGGAAATTCGCTCTAAAGGTGCCACGACTGGTGCAAATAAATATATATTTCAGAACCAAATACACAATTATATTGTTTCGGGTTTGTTGTTGATCATGTAAAAACTGCATCTTAGTGAAGATCATCTTAAGCACCAACTCTCTAACAGGAAGGATATTGTGTTCTGCGTCAATAAAGACATTTATCTACCAGCTTATTACTGTGTTGCTATTTGCACACTGCACTGCAAGGAAACAGTGGATATTGTTACAGAAAAAAACTGTTAATAAGTTACGCAGGTGTCAGGGATGTTGGAGTGTGTGTGTGTGCATGATTTGATGCAAGTCCACTCACATATTTGTTGGACATAAATAAATATAGAAAATAACAGTGTTTTGTGAAATGTTATGTAAAGTGCTACAACAAATACTCCTGTAGGACATCAACTTTATGAGTTTCCCTGAAAAAGGTATAATATAAATGTAAAATATTTGGTAATACGCTTTACTATAAATAAGAAATACAAGGATATACAAACATACGACACAGGAACAATGATTAGTAATTGTGAAAATATTGTTAAAACTGACACGGCACTAAGCACAACTAATAATAGGGACGACTGGACATTATGCAACTTTCTACAACCTACTGTATGTGCAAGAGACTAAACAGCAAATTGCAAAAATAGCTACATATGAATCAAAGACTGCATGATTGAAAGAAAATGCAGATGTTTGTGTGCCAATGTTATTATTAGGTTGCCAATACAGGTTTTGATTGGAAAAAGAGCAAATTAGAACAAACGTTTTTATAATAAACATTTAATAGTGCATTCTTAACAGTGCATGCCTTCATTTGTTTGTATATCAAACCCACATACATTTCCAAATGACTTAATTCATAAAAATGTAATTTCTGAAAACAAATATTCAGCATATGGACATATTTGAGGAAACACCTGACCATATAAAACAATCCAAGACTAGAGAGAAATAGTTACGCAGCACACAGTCTAATACAATGGTTGCATTGTTATATTAGATTGCGTTATATCGACAAGTGTTGCTAGTATTGTGTTCACACCCTGTTGTAGTTTTAGTGTACACCTGTGCTGTAATGCTTCGCTCAGACCAGCAGGGGGAGCTCAGGCTCAAAGAGAAACCTGGCCGTAACAGACTCCCAGCTGCAGGCTGATGTGTTAAACTGCTGAAGGCTTGCAGCTGGTTCAGCGTTGAACCTCAGCCGCCACTCAAGCATCAAGTAACAGTTTCCCCCACTGCGTTCGTGCACATCTGTTCAACATCTGGAGCAAGTGCACCTCCTCGTGTCACGCTAGACCAGGGGTCACCAACCTTTTTTAGGGTGAGGGCTACTTTCAAAAAATAAAACAAGTCGGGGGCTACATGTACTTTTACCCCTTTTGTTGTTTTTGTTTTTTGCAGTGTATATATTTAACACATTTTAACATTATGATATGCTTACCTTTAACCTTTGTGTGCTGTTTGGGTCTGTGGGACCCGTTTTCAGTGTTTACTAAAAGAACATGTATGCAATTTAATTATTTTAACCTGCTTTATTTGGGGGTGGACGGGCCTCACCTCCTCTAGGGGGGTCCGGGGGCATGCACCCCCGGGAAGATTATTTTTAAATGTTGAAGTGAAATGCATCAATCTGGAGCACTTTGAGCACAACATAAATTGATGGATACAGCTCTCAACACTCCGATGAAAGGGAGCTGTATACTTTTCAATAATCCAAACATCTTTAGAATATGATCACAACCAATAACAAATCATTTCAACTGGTTTATTCTTATCTTATGTTAGCTTATTTTATTTATGCTTATTTTACTAATCACTCCCCTTTCAAACTGTTTTTTTTTTTTTCTTTACTGTCCTATACACATTGGAATGATTTCTTACTTTATCTATATTAAATAGATAAAGGTGTGCTCTCCATAGCTCTCTCGCTCGCTCTCTCTCTCCCCCCCTCTCTCTCTCGCTCTCTCTCTCTCCCTCTCTCTCTCTCGCTCGCTCTCTCTCTCCCCCCCCCCCCTCTCTCTCTCTCCCTCTGTCTCGCTCGCTCACAGAGGCTGTGTGTCGATGACGGCTTGCGTTAAAAAATAATAATAAACATATTTGTAATGTGGGGGGACACAAACGGGATTTCGAAAAGAGCGGGGGACATTTCCCCCCTCTCCCAGGTGGAAATTACGTCATGCGTGTGTGTGCGTCAAGTGCAATAAATATATATGCAAGTTGCAACACACAGAGTAAAACTCTGCCCCTCATGTGTTGTATAGGCTGCATGATAGGCTGTTCAATGGGGCTGATGTGTTGTGTAGATTCTGCCAGAAGGAAAATCAGCGGTGAGCTGCCACTCCACATTTGCTTTTCTTCCAGACTGCAACGCTGGTCCCGCAAATCAAG